ATTCCCCGCTGTGCTCAAATGCTCTCTGGATGATGTGATGGCCCTTCATGAAAGCAAAAACAGATTAGGGATAAAAGTCTGTCAGAGTTGTTTTGCCAGGCCGTTTTTGTCTGCAGCTCTCTGCTATTGATGGCGTCTCATGTCAGCTTAAAGGCGTCTGAGAAGCAGAAATAACAGGATACACCGAGACAGGCACAGTTGGTACCTAAATAAAACACACTTCCTCAACCACAAAGCTTGCTGTTGACGACAGCAGCCATGAAAACAGCAATTAGTGCTCAACAAATGTATCACATTTATATAACATGTTGGCAGCAGAGTAACAGTAAGTTAAACTTCATTTTAATTTTAATTTAAAGTAATGTCTTTCTTAATGGTTAATACACCATTTACTAATACTTTGTAGTTTAGTAATAATGTTTCTCTGGCTAAATCGTGACTTATACAACTGATGAAATACCTTATTAATTAACATGAATTAACATTAATAATACATTATTTATGTCTAAACCCTTTATAAACAGTTCTGTATTAAAAAGTGGTAGCAATTCAGGAGATGACTGAAAGATAATATAAGTGTTAATTATTCAACTATTAAAGTGTTTTCATATCAAATCCCTCTCCCTCCTGCCCATCATATAAAACTGCATCTGACTGTTAGCATACTGTCCCGTCTTGCTCTGTGTTGGCTAAGCCATGCCCAGTTTTGGAGGATCCAATCCGAAATATATCACATCAAAGAACTAAAGGCGCTCTTTAAGTTAGATCTCGCATTTTTACCTTTACCTGGCTCATGAACTGTACCTTGATATGTTTAACCAAATTACCACAGGCCTTGTGTTAAGTCCTTGTGTTAATTTAGGCCTGGGTCACTCCAGCAGCTCAATCCAGCCATGTTGGAGTGCACTTAGAGGAACATGTTGCTAAAAACACTGAGTGCTGTGTTTACTATTAGCAGCCCAGAGCTACATTGATATCAGGCCAGTGCTAAAGAGGCTAACATTAACTCACGTTAATTCAGTGCTCCGCTCTGCTCGGTGTTAATTACACATGCCAGCTGAGCGTTGACGGTTCCTCACTTCAGACCTGGCGCTGTTGGCCGGCTGGCGAACACCCAGGCTGGTTGTAATTGGCACTAATACAGCAATATAGTCAGGGGTCATGAGCTTGATTCTCTTCCAGGTCAATCTTGAGTGCAGTTGGTCAGAGGTGAGTGTGTGTTTATGGTCTACAAATCAAAGACCAAAAGTAGAAGATATTTCACCTGATTTTATAATCATCTGACATCTGTAAAGACTGTTCTAAAAAAATAGCTTCTAAGTGAGCTCTATACAGTGTTGAACTTGGCTGCTGACACAGAGTTGGATGTTTTTTCATTTCTTTGATGTTCAGGTTTGAAGTGCAGATAGAGCAATCTGATCCCCACTCAGCCTGCTATCGTTTATTTTATTTCCATCCCTGACTCCACATCTGGAGGTTTTAATAACAAACTGGCCACCCAACCCTCACAATGCTGGGATAATCAGCAAATTTAATGACCCAAATGAGCTGGAAATTCAATTAATGCGGTCATGCTTTGGATTTATGGATAGAAGGAATAGCCAGGCTTTTTTTCTGTGGGAACTGGGTGGAGTCAGCAGCGCCCTAACATAACTCTTCTGACTGTTGCGCCGACATGGTATTAATACACCTCCTGAATGCCTGACATAAAATTAGCCAGCCTCACGCTTCCTAATTAAGCTCTTTAGAAAGCGAGTCAAATAACTTCATCCGGTGAAGAAAGCATGCTCCCTGTCTTTTCAATCAAGGCCTCAAGTAACTGCAAAATAATGACTTTCAAGTATTATTATTAACGGCTGATGTATGTGCGACCTGAAGCGGGTAAACCTGGTTGAGCCACTTTTTTTTATACCCCGCTAAGAAGCAGAATCTACAAAAATGCTAGGATAATTTTGTGTACAACATAGTACCCACGTTAGAGCCTACTGTATACAGATGAATGCTCCTCTGGTAGAAGCAACAGTGCAAAATTCTACATATATCATGCATTTGTAGCATTAGTTTAAAGTTTATAAGATAATTCTGCTCTTGGGTCAGCCATTGTATACTGAGACTTAGATTGGGTGACAAGATTAATCACATCACCAAATGTCGTTGTAACATATTTATAGTAACACTGCAGTTGGAGGTTATGCGAGCACGCAGGTGGAAACACTGCTGACACTTGCAGGGATCTTTTCCAAGATGTTAGCACCTGGCATAACAGTCTATGGCTGTAAGTAGTAAAATGAAGCACTTTTTGTGGACGTAATTTTGAAGGGTGCAATTGCCCCGGATTCCAAAACCTTTTGTACCTACTAGTCATTTCGACACCAAAATATCCTCCTGAGACCCGGCAATTAATTTTTGTCCTCAGTGGGGGACATGGCACTGAGGGCTCTATTTCAAACACCATGCATGTAACCTGTTTGAGTCCTAATGTACGGTGTAGAGTGCACCCTGGGCTTTCTAGTGATGTCAAACAGATGGGGGTGTGGCCAATGTGCGGGAATCACATCAACCAGCTTCTATGGCTATAAGGGAGGCAAATGATCAAATTTAAATAAAAATCATGTTTATATTGTTGATAATGCTTTTGTTTTTTAAGTATGAAAGCCTTAACTATATATTTGTTATTAATCATCCTATTAAAGTGCAGGAGAGAAGGGTGCAACTGGAAGACCTTTGTGAAGGGCAAAATGTTTCTTTGTGTCTCAAAGACCAAGAATTGCTTTCTAATGTGTGGTGAACACATGCACGATGTGTTCACCAAACTGTATGTGTACTGACCTATGGTACTGATTTTCTTTCAGATATTCCCCCATTAAGCAAAATGTTTTTAAAGGTAGTGTGATGGCAATTTGGGTTTTCAAATAAACAGTTTAGACAAACATTTCACACATCAGAGTATCATCCGGGTGAGCTGTCTCAGCACATGCAGCTTTTATCCTAATGTCAGGGTCAGCGCTATCTTACCACTGGTCTTTAAGAGGTCCTCTGGAGGACCCTCAATCTAAATCTGTCGTAAAGACAATCCTGCCCTTGCACAGCCAGGTACATGTTGTAAAACAATGAAAGACATGACCCCTGGACAGATCACATGCATTTACCCAGTACCCGATAAACCAGAGGCCCTCAGTGAGCAACATTAATTACATGACTGTCTTTGGAGATGGTACTCATGGAATTCCCAATACAGTAAAAAAGTTTCTTATAATTAAATCCATGATTCCATGATGAATGTGTTAAATTGGTTTTATATAGTTTTATATAAGATAACTGTAATAGAAATGTAAAGCAAATTTAGGCTTACAATGCATTTTTTTCGTGTTACTGTGATCATTTTTGAAAATGTAATGCTATTAAATAGGCTATATGTCTCATGATCATCACAACATTTTAATTAAAATGATCCTCAAATAAGCTAATCATTAGTTGCAGCAGACTTATGTCATCATTACTAATGCGTCATGGGTCTACACACATTCTGTGGCTTCATCCCCAAGGAGGAGGAGGAGGAGGAGGAGGAGGAGGACAGGGGAGGGGGGGGGTGCAGAGTGAGACTGGGAGTCTGCTGGTCAGTGTAAGATTAAAGGCGATAAAATCCAGGAAGCTGCCGACATTGTGGCGACCCCGCTGGTAGCCTAGCAACCAGAATGTGTGTTGACAACAAAAGCCTGACACAAGGCTCGTGCTGAGAGTCTGTGCTGGGAGGGGTACAAACACACACTCCTGTAAAGTTCAGTCACATGCATGGAGAAAGAAAAGCCAACACACACATTGAACACGCTAACATTTCAAGTATCTGGCACACCCACACCCTCCCCCCCACACACACGCTCTCCAAGCTTGCGGCTAGCTAAATGCAGTTTAAATGGTAAAAATCAGTTCAGCCACTGTGGAGATGTCATTGTCTAGAGTCAACAAAACTGTCTTGCCCGCAAATTTGAGGGCGCAGGTATCAAGGAGGACCGTCAGTAATCTCAGCTGTATAAGATGTGGGTGGATGAATTCAACACACTGACCCAGTGAACCTTACATTGAACACTTCACCTGGGGAAAAAACATTGCTGAGAACATAAAACCAGTGGACTAACAGGTGCAAATTCACATGTAAAAAAATCACAGAAATTGAACTCTGAGATCTGAGCAGATTTATTTTGCGCCGCCACTGCAACTTTGTCACTGGGATACTTGTCCTCTGTGTGCACCTTTCAGTTTCAGCAGATCGATATTGGTTTGTTTCTTTCAATTATCTTCAAAATGGTCCTTATTGGGGGCTTCTCCTTTAACAGCTCCACATTATTGCTTCTTTTATTGACCTGTACAGGATCATTTTCGTGTCTTCTCTACTCATATGTTTTAAGTCTAGGTTTTATAAAAGTTCCACATTTCTGGCTTCACAGTATCTTTTCTCCTGAAATATTCTCAGTTGTACCTTTGCCACAAAAAGCTACATTAGTGTATTTTATCATAATCCAAAAGGTTCATAACAGATTCTATCTTACATAAAGCTCTTAATCCGTCTCTTGTCTGCTTCAAAAGCTCCATATTAGTAACTTCTCTTTTACAGTAAAAGGTCCACATTAATGTCTTTATTTATTTACAACTCCAAATGAATCCCCTTTCTCCCAAAACTCTTACTTTGCATAGTATCCTTACTCAAAAACATAAGACAACATTAGTGTGTTTCTATGTGAAAAAGTTCTTCCATGTTACAGTTCTGTTTTCCTCTGAAGGACCATGTAAAAGTAGTTTGTCTAAACTATAAAAAGGTATATATTGGTACTTTTTCCAGGTGAGCATTATTCCTTTTGTTTGTTCTAGGCATCCTTAAAAAGCAGAGACTTTGTTTCTGCTTTACAACCAAAAGGCCAGTGTCAGATCTAGAGTGTTTGCTGAGGTTGTGAGATTGGTGTGGGGTGACAAGTGTAAAGAGGCGATGGCTGGCTGTTCGATACCTTTACAGGCGAAGCACTTGATGTGGAAGTGTTTGTTCTGGACCCGGAGCGCCTCTCCTTTGCAGGGCTTCCCGCAGTTCTGACAGGCGATAGGTCCCCCTCCTCCCTGCTTTTGCTTCTGCTTCTGCTGCTCCAGAGGGCTGTGGACAGCCTGCTGCTGAAACACTGCAGGAGACAGGCAGAGACAGGAAGAAGGCTATGTTAGATCTTATTCTAGTTTGTACAGAAGGTACACATAGACACGTACAAACAATGATTAGAACAGACAAACCGACACTTGGTGTGGTCAACTTTTGATATTACTTATACTATAACATCATGCTAATGTCTGTAGACATAACTTAGTAGTACGGACACAAGATGAAGATTAACAAAAAATTGGACACATCCTGATGTGTACAATGAGTTGCATCCTATTTACACTCCACTGTCCCTCATGCTCTTCCAAAATGCCAGTATTGGTTAAGGGCTAAAATTGGCACAATCTAAATCAGAAAAAAGATTGGTGGCATCTAAAGGCTATTCTACCATGAAAAAAAGGCAATTGTGGGGGAGATACCAGATATTTGGAGTTTTTCAGGATATGTTTGGCACTAAAAAACATAAAAAAAACAAATACTGCTTGTGTGTAGCCTTAAACCAAAAATATCTGCATTAATTCATATTTGTGACCCATTTATTTATACATAGTATGTCAGTCCCCGTTTTTCACTTCAAGCTTCAAGTACCATCCTTTTACTTAAATAAACACACAAAGCAGTGTCTTATTGTGTTACAGATATAAAACACTGCTTTAATCCAAAAATATCCAAGCCTTCACTTAGGTTGTCACATCAGACAACATAACAATATGAAGAAACAATATTCCTGATTTCTCTTTTTTTTTCTTTGACTCGTGCAAACACACACACACACACACACACACACACACACACACACAAACACACACGTTTTAAGTGTTCTATCAGTTGTGGGGACATTGCAGTGTCTTTCATTTGTTACCTTGAGACGTACCATAACCCCAACCACTTCAAACCTAACCATTACCCTAATGGTAGCCAGGCCCTGTCGTTAGCCTTAAACCCAGGCTTAACTGCAAAATGCAATGATTTATACAGATGTCACACACACAAAAAGCCAAGAAAGTCTACATAAACACTAATGTATGATGAATGTCACAACGTTGACCAGTTCCCAATAACTTTCCAAACTGTTATTCTCCTTTGTTCCACACAGGAGCGAGGGTTTGTGCCAAGAAAAATTATGTCAATACCAGCGGTGAAAAACATGTAACATAGCACAACAACATTCCTGAGGCATTGCACCAACGCAAGAAGGCAAACATATACCGTAAAAGCCTGACGTCTCCATCTTAACAGTATCATCAGCGTACCTCTCCCTTTTCCCCTTTCAGCGTAACTCTGGCAGAATATGCTCAACGGCCTTTTCAATACTGATTCGGGCATCAGACGAATAAAAGGCCCTTTGTGTTTTCAGGAGACATTTGTGTCTTCCGACCTGTTTCATCAGGGTTCCACGGTTACCAGTAATTGGGCTTGGAGAGGCAAGTTCGTCAAATGAATTGATTTATAGAAAGCGAGAGAAGGAAGTGTAGGGATAATAGCTGTGAGCCAAAGCAGCTGCTTTCTGGAGATTCACCAACAACATTTTTCTGGTGGACATTATCCTTCTTTCAGGTTTGCTCAATTCACTGGGTGTTTATTGGGTGTTTTATTGGGGCAATATTTTGACTTTGATTAAGTTAAAGCCACAATGTTTTACTGTCTTTCTCTACTCCATAATGTGCTACATTAAAAACACATTTAGCCACCCAGACACTTTTCTCCCTATGAAGTTAAAGGGACACTTCATTTAGACTGGAGAGACTGTTGAACTTCAGGTGGTTCTTACTCAATCACACTAAGTCACTTACTTTCCAGTCAGACTGGTCGATGCAACCATTAGTTGGATTTGAAACACATAAAATTTAAAGTTTTAACACATTTTGGGAAATGCGCTTATTTGCATCGTTTCTGAAAGTGAGATAAGGAAATCAATCTTATGTCTGTGCATTAAGTACAGAGTCTTAGCATAAGCATTTATGTATCTAGTTTGTATAGCTTGTACTTTAACAAGTTATGTTTTTTTACATATATCCTTTTTTTTAACCAGGTAAAAAGTCTACCTGAGATTAAAACAGCTTTTTTCAAGAGTGGCCTAGCCAAGAGAGCTGCAAAACAATATTACAACAATCAATGCAAACAATACAAACACACAACTGCCACACATATGTAGACGAAAATTCAATTAAAAAGGTCTAATTTCAATCGCAATCACAATGGCACAGTGAGCGTAGGCTTTACTATTGGTCTCTGTGCAGGCATGATGGTATTAAAAAAACTTCAACCTTCAACCTCACTGGGATGACAAGACTACAGAAGGCTGTGCACAGAAACCGTGCTTGGCTGTTACTTGCCAATAAGAAGTTGCTGCAAGTACCTTCCCATTAAAACATCACATTTCATTTCTGTTAAAATATTAAACAAACAAGACAGGAGACAGCGCTCACTTCTAAGCCCTCTTTGAATGACACATTTGCCTATTTGTGACTTGTTTTGCTGTGGAATACTTGGCAGGAGAGTACAAACAGCCACCAGTCTATCCAGATCTACAGGACCAACACATTCTTCAGCATGTTTTACAAGGATCTCTCAGCCACGGAACGTTTACAGCTTTGTGTGTGTCCAAGACAAACACAGCCTCTCACACATCCTTAGATCTCTTTAAGATAACCTTTCATCATGTGTCTCACCAAGCCTTATGCCAGAGTTTTCAAAAGTCTAATACCCAAATCAGATATTTATTCAAAAAGTTCCTTGGTAATACTGTACATTCTTGACGTGGCAAAATATAATAAAAATATAGAGAAAGGCATTTGGATGATCCAAAGAGAGGCTCTCTTTCAGTCCATTTGTCTAGATTACAATCTGATCTCCAACTTCAAAATATCCAGACTTCTAAATTGAACCAGGACAAGAAAAGGGATTTTGGACAACGCTGCTTACATTCTATTGTCGGAAGGAGGTGGGGCTTTATTGGAGCTACCCAAGTTGAGCATACATGTGGGCATGAACCAATAAAGACAAAGATTTAGGAGGGGAAAGTCTCGAGTCCTCGTAAAAATGGTCTGAGACCGAGTTGAGTGCAACCATCTGGAAAAGACAACAGTCCAAAAGCGAGAAAGGGTTGGGAGGAGGGTAGGCAGCAGGGACTGGTAGTCACAAGGGAGTCGGGAGGGGTACGGCCTCCTGATCTGACCTAGCATGCATTGCTGCACCCTTGCACCTGTTGGGGGGGATCCAGTGTCTTTACTTCCTCTTCAAACAGCAAATAAACGAGTAGGGCGGCACTGAAGAGGAGACAGATGATCTGCTGGGCCAGAGGTACGATCCAGCAAGTTGTTCTAGACATTCAGGCTGCCAGTAACCAAGCCAGTTGTAGTCTGTGATTGCTGTTTATATTTGACTCAGTTAGCTGACCAAATGAATAATGAGTGCTCCACTCAATCAATGTTCAATTGTAGCTTTTTGGTGTCCTTGTTAGGGTTCTTAGCAGGGCGGTGATTTGCATCTTCATGTTTCAGGCATTTTAAAATTCCAAGTAATTAGGGTAATATAATAAAAAATTATTTGCCATGAGTATATTTTGTCATACGCAAATCACTAATAGTAGTCAAATCAAGAGATTAGAGATTGAGTAGAGGAGTAGAGAGTGGAAATTATTTAGTTGGACGAGGGTGACGTAAGAAATTAATGAGTTTTCTCTCTTTGGCGGAGAACAGAGGGCAACTGTGCCCTACACAGCAGCGTGTAGAGTTCTTCCCCCTCCCATCCCCCCCTACCCCTGTCGGTGACCTGTCTTCTTCAGGCCCAGTTGTCCATATCATCAATCAGCCTTTCTGGTGTCTGTTCTCTGGAGAACGGCCACTACTGATGTTGTTGTCCCAAAGGTCGCAGCCAGGCAGGCAGCCATCTGAGCAATGCAACACTACATGTCCGTGCCGCATACGGTCACACCACAGGAAGCCTCTGGGAACACACACTGACAGAGGTTTGCGGTTTACCACCTGCACATGTATACCATACAACTGCCCAAACATAGGCATGTGGCTACACCGCATATAGCATCTCTCTGATGCATCGTGAAGCCCATATGCTTGCTGTTCCAGGTGACCAACAATAACTGAAGGTATGTAATGAGAGGGAACACATTCAGCAGAACCTCCCAAAGCCAAGTTCACACTGAAAACAGTGGGGAAACAAAATTCTGTGGTAAAAAGTTAGTTAATGCTTCAACATGAAAAGGTTTTAAAGGTACATATACATGGAATAATGAATCACAGCCACTACACAGTGGAACACACAAGCAGTTAATTTTCAAATGCCTTTTCAAGAAGCCATGCTCCTGCACCTCCTAAAAATAGAGTGTTCCCTCAACTCACGGGGATCCCATGGTGCTCTGCAACATTCCTGTTGTGAACCATCTGCAGGGGTGGGCAGGGGATCAGAATGCTCACATTACCTCAGCAAGGGAGTACGTTGTGTAGGCAGAGCTGTTGACCTTGGGGACTTTCACTTTCTTATGGGTTAAGACATAAACATACATGCTATTCTTGTTTTTGTGGAGAAACAAATCCAGTAAATCCAGTTCTTTGATTAGGGCAATAGTTCTATAGCTCTCTATGGGATACTACTGTATTACCTAAATGCTGGCAAATATGAAAAAACAAAAGTTAACTTCATAAAAGCTACTGTAGAACCACTTAAGTGTCGCTAAACTAAGTCTCCTTTGTGTTGTAGTGTGTTGTAAATTTACTAAGGAAGTGGCAGTGCAATCTCCAAAAAATACTTCTTTGTGCAGCTGAATAATTTCACTTGTTAGCATTGGGGCTAGCACAATAACATTGGCATAGATTAGCATTAAGATAAGCCAGTTTGCAAAGAATATGCCTTCAAGTCATTAGAAAAAAAACTAAAGACAGCTAATGAAATACTGCTTCCTCCAGCCAGTTCTGGGTACACTGGTTCGTAATGTTAATGGTACCAAAACATGCCTCTCAAGCTGCAAAGCCTTATTCAGCATTCATTTTGCTAGCTTACTTACCA